TTTAATATTTATACAAAAAACGTAATGGATTTAATTCAAGATCTCATAAGATTGATAAGTCTTATGTTTTGAAGGTGAAAATATTGCAAAAGCTAAAGAGAAAGAAAAATCAGTCGTACACCATGACGTGTTTGGAAAACTGCTCATTTATGTGTACATCTGCCTCCTTCCCTCAAAACCATCAGGAGAAGATATGAGGCGAAGAGTCATAAAGTTAACCCTGGAAAACAAGTGGTGCATTTTAAAACTTATGTCAAATGGGTATTTCCTTTCAATGTGAATATGATAGGATTTAGTCCACAGACTCAAACTGCAGGCCCAATTTCACGTCACGGCACTTATCTGACTCATGTGGGTTGTAAAAGAATCGCTAAGGATGTAACAATCTCTGGTGGTGATCACCAATACTTTCTTAGCCTGAGTATCAGGCGTTTCTGGGGAAAAGGGGATGGAAGGGAAAATGGGAGAGAGCTGAAGGAGAGAAACGCCTGACACAGATGCTTTTACTGGAGCCTTCCACCCCCTCACAGCATGATTCCATACCATCCAATCAAAATCATTTCCAGTCACTGGATTGTCAGCTTCACGTGTAAATCTCACTTTACGGTCTGGCCGAGCTCCGGTGCTTGTGTTGCTACGATTTCGCTTTTTTTCTGAAACCTCCAATGAGGAGTTTTCGAATACTTGTGATGTAAAACCTGGTGTTTTTGAGGAATTATAACATGTTTCAGGAATTGTGCTAGTGTAAGATCGCCAATGCTCTGTTTGTAAATAAACGTGTGCCTGGAAAATTGTAAATTGCTTTTGTTTACAGTACATCAGGCGCTTGTCTGGCAGCCAGCTAAAAAGCTGATGTTATCCCTCATATTCTCAGGCAGCTGAAAGGAGCTGCAAGAATAAATAGGAAGGTGTGATAGTGAAACACCTATGCCTAGAAATTATCAAGCAGCAGCAAATTCTACCACTTCACAGAGAGCTCGTGAAAGCTGTTACAAGTTAAAAAAGAAGTGAGAGCCTATAGCAAAGGTCAATCCCGTTGGCGAAATATGATGGTGCCCGCTTGAGCTTAAGACATTTCAAAACTGAGAAAATTTTTGAAGAGGAAGCGAACGAATTCCAATCACGTACGCTATCGTAACCGCCACAAGCAAAGTCAAGCTTTTTAAAAGCATTGGTGCTGTCGACTATCTCAATACATGGCTACCTCGCTCTATTTTCATTTACAAAAACGATGCCCTTTTAACAGCAGGATGTTGTAAATCAGAACTTAGATATCTGAAACACTGATATTGTCTTCTTTGTCCCAGTCTTGTGAAACCAATACTCGCGCCCTCTAGAGCCTTTTTGAATTCCTCTCTGCGTCTCTGTCCATAAAAGTATCACATACCGGTAACATGAAATCAAAACATCTATGAAAAATTTCAATGGCCTCTCCTTGCCACTCGCTCTTGCGGTCGGTGACGTAAGGGGGTATTGTGTGTTATCCAATCACTGCCACATCCAGATGTGTCACATGATTTGCAGAATGGTTTTGTGTCAGGTCTTCCTTTCTCTTCTCCCCCTTCCCCCTTCCCTAACTAAAATCTCCTCTCCCCTAGCCCCTTAGGAAGGCCTGATACTCAGGCTAATACTTCGTGTGTCATGGGGTGTGAAAATTGTAGGGAGGGCACTTTGCATCTATGACCTTTAATTCCTGAGCCTGCCCATCTCTTTTGGACTAGTCTGTGCTCAGAAAAGCTACTTCACTTATGAAATTGAAAACCATCCCTGGACAGTATACATGTAGTATGGAAATAAATTGGAACATTTTAAAAGTAACTTAAAAGAGCAAAATTGTTTCTTTTTGTGAAATTTATCTTATCAGTTTGTTTTCTCACTATGGCAAGGTACTGCTGTAAAATGCAAATTATTTTAAGTTGTTCATTCATTTATTAAATTATAAATAAGGTCTAGTAGTACGTATGATGGCTACATTTCTGCATTTTGTTCTTTACAGGTTTGTAAGTGAATTATGGCAAGCTTCTAAGACAAGTGCAACAGAGAAAAAGGACCACTGAAAGGCAGTGATGAGGAAAATTGAAGCCGTAGTGTTATGCTGAAGAAATGGCATCAATGTTCACACAAACCTTTTGTAGCAAGACAAGTCTATAAATTTCAGAGAACACTTCAGAAACGCTTCCCTTTATACAGAAAGGAAAACGTTTTAATGGCAAAAAGAGAAATTGATCTAGGATATGTTGATAAACAAGTTTTGGAGACTTAGACATTGGCGTGGCATTAGTTTGACTTAGCCTGATAAGATTAGAGGGAATTGCAAACTTCTATCCAGGTAATACACACTATGTGTTTGGAGAATCAGGCAAGGATCGCTCAAGGTAAGACAGAAGCATTCCAAACTTCAGTATAAGCTAGGAATGCCTTCAAGGAACTATGCTTACACTGGTAGTTATTAAACTGCCATAACAGACTTTTCAAACAACAAAGAAAAATAGATGGACAATTATTTGATTATATCACTGGTCTTTGCAAGCAGATGACAACATTTTTATCGCTGTCTGGTGAGATAATAATTTTATTAGGTTAAACTGGTTCCATGTAAGAAAAAATTAATTACTCTACTATGTGTAATAAAGCCAAAATGACTAATATTACTTCGTGCATAATTCTTTGCATGTAGCTTAAGCTGTTAGTGTTATTAGCATAATTTTTACATCAATATGTCTCTTGTGACTTTGTGTGTATTCCAGTCATAAATTCATAAAATACTAAGAGCAAGTTATATCTGTTACTTGTCACTTTAAACAGTCTATCAATTTCTAGGCCTTTTCTCACTGAAGTCTAAATAATGTTATTAATAGTATCAGTATTACTGTCAAACTATTACACCTTGTATTCTTACGTGAGTTTTGCATTCAATGTATACTGACCACAACCAATAAACATAGAGATAACAAATGTCAATTTTTATCACAATGTGGTTTTAATCCTTTAAATGTAGAAATATTTCCAAGGAATAACCATAAATTCATTTTTAATAAGTTGCGATTATGTCCAATGATCTATACAAATTCGACAGCTAGTGAATACAGTTTCACTGGATATTGGGTTAAATTTCTTTTAATTAATACAGCTGAAGCTCTCCTTGCGACCACTCTTGTTAGCGACCAGCTCTAGTTACAACAACTTTGTAAAAACCTGTCTGAACTGTGACTTAAACTTGTAATGAAATGCTCTCGCAGGCGACTGCTTCCGTAAGTGACCGCGACCACTTTCGGATAACCCAAGTTCTGGACTTTTCCTTTGTTTTTAAGCTATCTTAAGCGACCACTCAGAGTCTTATTCATATAAATCAATACCTTAATAAAACTGCACCCTGGTTGGTTAATGGTTTACTAATAAAGATCTTGTACATGTACATTGGAGGACGTTAAGTTTAGCCATGTCTATATCCAATGTAAAGACACTCCTTATTTTAAACATTGATTTCTTTTTGTTACTTTTAGTTATTAATGAGTCTCTGACGTTCTCATAAGCGACCACCCTCTATCGTTTTACCATGCGGTCACTTAAGAGAGCTCATTCTCGTAAGTGACCAGCTCTAGTTATGACCTCTTTTTCAAATTTCTGAGGTGGCCACTTACGAGAGCTTTGACTGTACCTGGCTTAATGTTTCAACATTGCCCAACTGTCCCACAAACTAAAAAAAACGTCTGGTCCCCATTTGGGTTTTTGCTGGCAATAATACTGAATAAATACTGCCAAGGTTAAGTAAAGGAATTATTATTATTATTATTATTATTATTTTTATCCTTATTTTTATCCTTATTTTTACTTGGTGTTGTAGCAGAAAACACAAAATAGTGTTGAAACGTTTATCCAACTGAAGTATTTAGAAACACGCACGTTTTTTAGTTGGATGATATCACACTTCGACCACGTATAAAATTTGATATTCATTTTATCGTCCTTTTGGTATTCAAAAAACAAAACCAACTTTGTGCCTCCTTCAACACCTCTAATACAGAAGTAAGTATCTCCACTTTGTTACCAGTCAACCGTACCCCTTGGTGGTTTTTAGCGCGCATTTTTTGGGGGGTCTTGTGTTCTCAGGATGTGTATTAGGTTGCAGTTTCCATATCCTGTGATTTTTGTCTCTGAATCTGACTCGCGTCCCCTAATTCTTGTTTTCTCGTGGCTGTACTGGACGTTGCCGCGGTAGTCTGGTTCATTGGTGATATCCTATTACGCTTGCAGCAGATCAATTCGGACAAATGTTTTCGAAACTGACTGCTTTGAAGACTGTAAATAACAGGATTCACGCTGGAATTAAACACAATCAAGGCAGAGGCCACTGTGTGATGTATTCCAACTAGTGTAATGGTACCAGTGAAACCAAGAAAGTAAATTAGCAGCTCGGGAACCCAACACAATACGTAAACGACCGTCACGAAAACAACCATCTTGGTCACCCGCTTCCGGTGGCGCTTCAAAGCCTTCTGGGTATCCTCGCGAATGTTATCTTTTTTGATCCAAAGATGATACACCATTCTTGAGTACAAGATTCCCATGATGCCAATAGGGATCACACCAGCTACCACAGACCACCCAACAGTATAGAAGTGACCGTAGATGGGCTTGGACCAGCTGTGCCCGCAGCTTTTGAACTCTTTGATGTAAGTGACAGCTATAAAGCCGGGAATTGCCCAAAGAAATGACAGCGACCAACACGTGATCACCAAGATGATAATCTTGGGTTTTGTGAGTTTTCCTTTATGGCTGTGTGGATATAAAACAGCACCGTAACGCTCAATAGCAATAGCTACAAGGGAGAACACAGAGGCTAAAGCTCCAGCCCAGCCTATGTTTCCACCACTGAAAAGCTTACAAAGAATTTCCCCTGTTTTACCCTCGGGGTGGGTGTAGGTAGGACCTATGACGAAAGGAATGCCAATGAAAAGTGCCACGATCACGTCAGCGGTTGCTAAGTTGATGAGGAGGAAGTTGATTGGAGATCTCATGGGCTTGTTTAGGACAACAGCTAATATCACCAGTGTATTGCCAACCAGGTTTATAAATATCAGTATCGAGAAAAAGATGGCGAAACCGATGAACATTTTCTTTCTTTATCGATGCACCTAAAAGGCAAAACAATGATTATTAGAACCAGTCATGAGGGAAATAATTGTTGAAGAAGCGTGCTGGCTTGTTTTCTACCAAACCTTAAATGACCTAATAAACACCCACTTCCAAAATAAACGCCTCTTATCTAATAAACGCCCCCTCTACGCTGTTAACTGAAATTTTATTAAACGTCCCTCTATAATAAAGGCCCCCTGTCTAAGAGACTTCCTCCATGTGAATTACTCCGAAAAACTAGGAATTAACATAAAGGGGCAAAATCAATTAATTCATTCAGTTTCTTGCTTGATTAACAACTAGATGGAATCCTTGCGTATTTCATCTTTCTAAGCGTCAAGTTCAAAGTAAGCAAATACTAGAGAGATTAAAATTCACGTTTAGGCCAAAGGGAAGACGTGAATTTGTACGACGTGACCAAGTTTTCCCCGTATGTTTTGTTTACTCGTTATTGCTTTTACACAAACATAAGTACTTTTATGCCAGTTTTAGCTATAGGAATAGTTCGTGACTGTTTTATCTGCTTATTTTCTATTCTGAGAAATTCTCAACTTGAGTCTGACGTTTGCCTTTTGCGGTAAACGTGAATCTTCATCTCGCTACTAACAATGGCAACACAGTAACTGTGAGCGACGATTCTGACATCGATTTTGGGATTTGAAACAGTGATATGGAACATCTGTACGGAACAACGTAGATGACAATTTAAGAGCCTGCTCCTCGTTAAAACGTTTTAAAAACTTAATGAAGAACTATTTAATTTCTAAACAATAATTTCAATGTAATATATTTCCTTTATTCTTTAGTTTTTATCTTGTAAATAGTGACTAAAAAGCCCCAAGGGAATTTACTATTCAAGTGTGTGTGTCTAGACGTATCAATTGATGGTCAGAGTGGATATCTCGCAATTTTTAAACTCTCTTGATATTTTCGCCGAAAACATATTAGTTTAATTGAGCTTGATATGGTCATGAGAATATACGCCTATTAGGTCATTTATGCTATGTTTTGTATTCACAACAGCTATTCCATTTTTCAAAGCCCTTGCACTTTGATCTGTTCTCTCTTAGAGTCACTCTCTAAATAAATTATGATAAAAAATGGATGAAGAATGGTTGGTACCTACGCGAGGACACTCCAGCTTGGCAATGAGGGGATTTACCTAGTTTATCCTTTGGTTATGCCCTATGGGCTCCTGGACTCAAGTGTATATATTACTTGTGTCACGCAGCTCCCTCCATTTGTTTGCTATTAAAAGTTTAAAACTTCCGCGAGTCATCGAAACATCCACTTAAAAGGCCCTTCAACATGCTTTGAGGAGGATCTTGACCTGGATGCCTTCAACCAGGTTTTTTTTCTATGCTTAAGAAATGTTTGAACCTGCGATTTCAGCCGGTAATTTATCTGGACTTAAACTATAAACATGGACACTTTTTCAAATTCAACACTCTCGTTAGTCGAAGTAAAACGACAATGACTTTGACAGACTCCAACTATCAACAGCAGTGAATCTCACAGGTTTTGAACAAAGCCTTAGAAATCTACAACTTACAAACATTTCCTTCAATCTGCCTCGTTTTTCCTCCGAACAATATGAAGACGAAATCAGCCCGGGAGATGTAAATTTCAAAGACAGGTTGAAAAAATAAACCAAACAAGTTGATCAGAAGACGAACTAAATGTTAATAAATTGAGATTTGTCAGTCCGGGGCTCCGCAGATGTAATTATTACTATTACAAAGATGACAGGTTGAAAAAACTAAACCAAACAAGTTTCCGATTGTTCAAAAAAATTCGCTGAGCGTTTTTAAAACTAATAAAAAAGGCCAGGTGAGAAAACCTTCCAGTAACTCAAATAAATGGTTAAAATCAGCCAGTCGATCAAAGAAGGCTACTTTTCAATTTTATTCCAGTGATTATTATTGGCTGTGTAGTAAAAACCGAAATTGCTAAACAAAAATTGAGTTTTGTCTTCTCGCAAGTTGACAGAATATCTAAGGTGAAAAGCCAGTATTCGTCAAACCAAATACCCTTTTGACAGTTTGTACTTTAAATTTTTATCCTTAACTAAGGAGCGTGAAAAAAATTTAACCTTTCAGGACCTTTTTTAACGTAATTTTACCCACAGAATGGCGCCGCATAAGAAGTAAAACCACTCATCTGTACGCCGTTTAACGCTGTCTTGGCAGATTATTTTCAGGATATTTATTATCGAAACCAAGTTTAATTTTGCGATAAACATCTTCAAAAACGTCGAAAATTTGTTGCCGAACGTATTTCCCATTCTTCACTGGTCACGTTGATGAGAAATTGTGACGTCATTAGTAGAAAGCGCTATTGCGCAAGCTATAAGCCGATGTTTTC